CCCCCCCCCCATATGCATTTAAATGCAAATGATGTCCATCTCTTGATGGACTCCAAACCCCTTTCCTGGTGCTGCTTGGCACTATGCCCAAAGAAATCATTCAGAATATATTTATGTGTATTTTAATGTGTTTTAGGACATTTGAAGGTAAATGTATTTTCTATTACTTTCTGCTTTACAAATTCCAGGAGAGATGTAGCTAGATAGATCGCCACTTCATATTGTAATAAAAACTCCATTATATAAAGCAGATAACAGGAAAGGGGGGGAGGTGGAAATCTCTGTGCATTTAAAACATCACAATAGGTGATAAATGTACATTTAAGCTGGAAATTCTATCTGGATCATTATCTGTGCTGTGCAACATATGTTCTTGCCATCCTTCCCTAGTCTGTTTCAATTGAGGTTTACAGTGCATGCTTCAAGCTATTGTTAGGATGCTGAAGATTATCTGGGAAATGTTGTGGCTGGTGGTTTGGGCTTGAGTACAGATTGATTATATTAATACTAGCACAGAGGAAAAAAAGACTTTGGGATATGGAAGCATTTTCAAAAATGTAATGCTATAGCCTACCTTGTGCTTTTGGAATGGGTAACACTGCCAGCCCAGCCAGCCAGGAAGGGGGGGGGGGAACCCTGCCCTGCCTACGTTTAATAATTTTCTCATTTGTCCAGTTACCAGACAAGCAAAGGGAAATGCTGTGTCAGCTTCACCTTTGTATGCTGCATGACTCCCCGTGTTCAGGGAGCTCTCTCTGGGGGGTTCCATCTTTCCGCTACCAGATAAATGTCACATTATGTAACAGAGGAGTTAAAATGATTCATAATGGAATAGTTCATCTTTAACAGTGTCCGTGGGCCTAATGTCTGATTAAACGGAGTAGTCTTGCTGTCTTCAGTGAGCAATTTCCCCTTCACTTGGTATGCACTGGGTTGGCACAGCTCCACTCCTGGTGGAGTTTCCTAGAATGCCTGCAGCCACTACTGGGGCACCCTTATTTTAGGACAAGGATGGGATTGGTTCCCTCACCATTGCAGCAGTTGGCTCACCTGTTCACTCCTTCTCACTCCAGACTGGCAAGACCTATGGATTGGCCCTAGTCCTTGAGGTTGCCAAAGACCTTGAGCATGCCTGCTGCCTTCTTTTTGGCAGGGCTCTTTTTGTAGAAAAAGCCCAGCAGGAACTCATTAGCATAATAGGCCACACCCAACAGCAGAAACTCATTAGCATATTAGCCACACCCCAACAGCACCATCCATTAGCATATTAGGCCACACCCCATGTCTTCCCTTGACTTGCCCAGGTGCCCCACGGCTGTGGGATGCCTGGCAAGCCGACCCTTAAATGCCTCCCCTATCCTTCCAGGCCCCCCGCCGGCCTGCCCACTTTGGAGTCGCTGGGGGGGGTTTGCTCTCCAGGCCTTCCCTCTGTAGCCACGCGTTCAGAGGTTTTAGCTGTAGTGGGCGTGGCCAACTCTGAAGCCAGCCGGAACTCTGTTCCTGTGCGTTCCTGCCCAAAAATAGCCCTGCTTTTTGGTATCTTCATAGGGTTGCCCCCATTCTCCTCCTACCTCTTCCATTCATCTGCTATTTCCCATCTATGCCCCCTTTCTGCCTTTTACTCCTGAGTGCTCATGAGGCCTTTGCTTTGTTCCCCAAATATGGCCTGACCACCTACCACCACCATAACAGGTGACTGCCCGCTCCTCACTTTGTGAGATACTCTGGAAATCTTGTTGGTCTTTAAGGTGCTACTGGACTGCAGAACAACTCAGGTATTCACCTGACACTGTACCTTACTTGGGTCCATCCTTCCCCTTCCTCCTATTCTGAGCATCCTGTGACAACATCTGAAGTGAATTAGATTTATATGGGCCCCGGTCAGATGAAAGGTTTTGGGCCAGGAGAGGGATGGATCGGGGGTGCAGCAAACGGGCGCGATCCCACCGCAACATCTGGGAAGTGTTGTGCACCCGTCCCTGATCCGGCCCTTCCGCCTGAAAAGCTGCAGCAAAACTAAACCACCTACCGAGGTGGACCTTCCAGCACGGCCGCATCAAGCCTGGCCATGGGATCGCCAGCGTGTCCTTCTGCTGGCGCATCCCAGGGTCCTGGCTGAACTGCACATGCTCACACATGTGCAGTTCGGCAGCCTCCCTTTCCCCACTGTGGCTTCCCCCAGCATCTGATCGTGCCGGGAAGGGAATGTGCCGCGACTCAGGGAATCAATGTGATCCCGCCGCAGCGTCTCTATTTTGGTGCGGCTTCCAAAAGCCACACTTTGCCCGTACCCCCCTCCCCCCCGTGTGGCAGGGACCATGGATATACATTTTTTAAGATTTATTTTTATTTCTACATATAGTCAGAATTGCCATTATTATTCTGCCTCTTTTGTTTGGCAAATATCTAATTTTCATCCAATTCTATTTGTGTTATGCTACTTTTACATTCTATCTCATGTTCATATCACATTGTGACATTAATGTGCAATTAATGGGGGGAAACCCAGATGTATATTTTAATGGCAGTATGATAATTTTCTCTGATGTAATATTTAGCATCATATATATTCTGGTGCCTCGGAAAGTTATTGATTTAGATGGGGAGCAATTCTGTTATTTGTTTGTGGAGGGCAGGTGCAGTAAAGTGTCAGGAGCACGGATGGTGGTAACCAAATCTAGACATGGAGTGTAGGTTCTTCAACCCAGGATCCCTGAGGTCAGTGGCTGTGGGCTGAAGCAGTACATTGGTGATTTGATTCTGAAGTGAAGCAGGCAGAACTGTTCAGCTGACCAGGATCCTCACAGTTACGCTAAGCCTGACAAATCCAGAGGCTTCATATTGCCTGCTTACCAGAGCTCCTCTTACACCATCTGTCTTTGAAGAGGGTTCTGCTGCCTGAAGTTAACTAATCTCAAGCAATGAGATTTCTGGTTGAAGGCCCAGAATTCCTGGCACCAAGTAATATATGAGGTCCATAGTTGTTTATTATTGTTGTTGTTGTCTCTCTGTCTTAGACTATGCTCATGGCATAACACTTCTGAAGTATTTTCCACAATAAAGGCACCAATAAAACAATATTTGCAACACAACAAACTCACTTGAACACATGAAACTAGCAGCCTGAAAAATAAATCTCTCTTTAAGAATGACCAATACAAGCTGGCAATGCTCCCTCTAAGCTGTGGAGTCTTGTGAGCAAAAAACTACTTTGTGAGCTATTTGCATTAAGGTTGTAAGTGAGCAATTTGGCCACTGCATAAATTAGTTTCCTCTGGAACCATCGTTCCTGAGCTAAGACAAAAATGTGTGAACTGGAGGCTAAAAAAAACTGTGAGCTAACTCACACTAACTTAGCTTAGAGGGAACACCGCAAGCTGGCATGAGTCCCCCCCCCCATAAAGTCACATGGAGGCTTTCCCCAAAGTTTGTGTGATGGACTGTAGTGGATTTTCTCTCAGCATTCCCAGATCCTCTGTTTCCATTTGATGTCTTCCCATACTTTGGTCCCGGTCACATGGGCCGTAAAATGCGGGGGGGGGGGAGCGTGGCAGTTTGGCTCGGAGCAAAATAACGCACGGCTGCCCGATCACAGGTCCCGTCGAGGTCCCGTGGGTAGGGGCAAGGTGGCGATCACACAAAGATCCTGCAGCGTGGCAAAGAAGTGGCGTGGCGCAATCTCACCAACGATACGCACGATTCTGCGGAACAACAGAACTTTCGCTTTCCTCTTCATGCGCATGCACCGTTGGGTGCTTGTGCGCATCCTGTGGAGACTTGGGGGAAAAAAACCCTGTTTGCGACAGGACATGGGCGGGCTCCGGATGCCACGGACTACCACTGGAAATGCGATCAGACGCCAGCCCTTGCCCCACGATTTCTGGAAACTAGTACCTTGGAGGTACTAGTTTTTAACTCCGCATCTTCGGCGGCAAGCCTCAGGTTCGCCATGGGAGCTCTACGCTTCCCAGATGTTGTGGTGTGATTGCGCCCAGAAAATCCACCTATCATCCGTCTCAGTAGCGTGGCTAATGCTCCGTGTGACCGCAGCCTTTCTTTGTCATTTCTTTCTGCTCGAATCATATCAACTTTGGTCCAATTTGAGAAAGCAGAGAGGAATGACAAAGAGACTGCAAAGCGACAACCAATGGAAAACAAGGATACAAAGAAACTTGGAGAAAAACTGCTGCAAGTTGGTACCAGAACCAGTTTGGCGTAGTGGTTAAGTGGTTAAGTGCGTGGACTCTAATCTGAGAGAACTGGGTTTGATTCTCCACTCCTCCACTTGCAGCTGATAGATGACCTTGGGCAAGCCATAGTACTGTCAGAGCTGTTCTGTCAAGGACAGTTCTGGAAAGAACTCTCTCAGCCCCACCTACCTCACAGGGTGTCTGTTGTGGGGAGGGAAAGGGAAAGGAGTTTGTAAACTGTTCTGACCAAGTGAAGGGTGGGGTATAAATCCAACCTCCTCCTCCTCCTCCTCCTTCATGAGAAAACCCTATAAAAGAAACAGAAATAGGTGCAGAAAAAACTACCTAATCACAGCAATCAAAGCAGTCAAGGATCCAAGACTATTAAAAAAACAATAATCCCAAGCCTGGTTAAAAAAACCCCAAAGGATTCTTTGGGAGTGGTTGTGGCCCACTGGCAGACTGCCTGTCTGGCATGCTGAAGCTCCCAGGTTCAATTCCAGGCATCTCCAGTTAAAAGGACCAGGCAGTGGGTGATGTGAAAGACCCCAGTCTGAGACTCTGGAGAGCTGCTGCCAGTCTAAGTGGACAATACTGACTTTGATGGACCAATGGCAGGCCCGAAGCTAGTGTGGTGGTGGTGGCGGGGGCGGGGCTGAGGGCAGCACCCACTATCAAATTAGCCCTTCTCAAATTAGCATTAGTTACTGGACAGGGCTTTCCACAGGAACAAGCCAGTTCGAGGCCTGGAAATCTGAGAAGGCGACTAAAGCACACGGAGATCTTCTGGAGCCGGGCTTGGAGGCAGAGATGCCACTGGGCTTCTCAGCGAATGAGATGGCCTCATGGCTGCAGGTGGCCTGGGAGGTGCACAGCTTCAACTCCGTGGCCCAGCTGTGGGACGGGAGCCACACTTGCGTGTGCTATGGCATCTACCTGACTGCAAGCTGCTGGCTCCACAGACACAGCAGGGAAGCCAAAGCCAACAGCCAGAGCCTGGCCATGGAGCTGCTGCTGGGCTTAGGCTGCCTGCCACTGTCTCACTCCATTGCTCTGGGACAGGCGGCTGTGCAGCCCTGCAGCTCTCCCGATCAGGACTGCCTTCGCTCATGGTGGCTGCGGCTGGCTGGAGTAGGCACTGAGAGCAAGCTGCCCCAACTGAAAAGATCCAGTGCCCAGAGAGCTGTTCTCTAGATGGGGACCAGCCAGGTGCACTCCTCTCCCTCCCCCTCACTTCCTCTCCCTCCCTAAATTTAATTAGTGTGCCCCCCCCTTACAGAAAAATTCCTGGCTATGGGCCTGTTCCCAACCAAACACTTCCCCGGCTTATCCCGATAGAGACTTTGCCAGAAGATCATACAACGGTTTCCCCTCCCCTTGACACCTCCCAAAGGGTGGGAACTCTGTGCCTGAAGTCATTACTTGCTTTGGAGGCAGGGAGGGGTGTGCACAGCCTAGGGTTGTGAAGTGCCAACCACTTTGCTCATGTGTTCTGCTGCAGCATGTGTTTGTCATCCGGGAGCGTCCAGAGACAGTGTTAATAGACCTGATCCAGAGAACAAAAGATGCAGTCAGAGAACTGGACAATCTGCAGTATCGGAAAATGAAAAAACTGCTCTTTCAGGAGGCACACAACGGACCCACAGTTGAAGCCCAGGAAGAGGAGGAGGTAAAAGCAGAGGAGGCGGGGAGGGGAGGGGAAGAGGAGGCTGAATGATTAGCAAAATGCCAACAGTCACCACAAGATGGGTTGACTTGGATGGGGCTCATTTACCATCATGCCAAGCCACAGAGCCAGTGAGCCTGTTTAGCCTGTGTACAAAGGGAAAATTGCCTTCTGAGTTTGGACAATTACTTGCACTTTCCCTTTGAAAGCAGGAGTGGATTTCCACTGCCCTAAAGCGTGGCCTTCCCTTGCTGTTTTATACATCAGCAGTTCACCTGGCAACCTTATTTCTAGCTTGCTTGGAAGTATCATTTTCTAGCAAAACACAACCCTTCCATGTGGCATTCCCTATTGGAAGAGACACCTGAAGCTGACTTATACTAAATCAGATGACTGGTCTATCCAAATCAATATTGTCTGTCCTGACCAGCAGTGGCTATCTAGGGCTGAGGTGTTGAATTCATTTGTTATGAGGGCCGGATCCGACATAAATGAGACCTTGTTGGGCCGGGCCATGTGTGTCATAAAATGTAATGCCAGGTAGCGGAGATATAAACTTTATAAAGGACACAAACACAAAGGGTTTTTTTATTTAATTTAAAATAAAAACATGCTTCAAACATTAGCACTCTTGCAATATTTTCTTTATTTAACAGTGTCTGATAAATGACACCTCTTGCTCTGAATTATTGCATCAAAATGTCTGTGCTGTTGCAATCCTGAGTATGCTGTTCAGGTATGTATCTGTAAGCTGCAAACCTAGGATGACGCAGCAGCAGCAGAACTGGAAGAAGCAGCAGAAGACTGCCAGTTCCACTGCAGGCCTGAAAGAAGCCCTCCGGGGGCCTGATCTGGCCCCGGGCCACATGTTTGACACCCCTGATCTAGGGTCTCTGGCAGTGGTCTTCCACATTACCCACTACCTGACCATTGGAAATAGAAATGCGTATAAAACTCAAACTTCTACAAGAAAAAACAGAAAGAGGAGGGCTTGCATTTTCAGATTGGCGTTTATATTATTATGCAGCATCTCTGGTTTGGATTTGGGACTGGATTCAAATGACTGATCTTAGAATCCTAAAAATTGAAGGTTATAATTTACTATCAGGATGGCACGCAATTCTTTGGTATGATAAAAAAGATTATCACACCCATTTTAATCAACACATATTAAGAAAGGCTTTACTAAAAACATGGATGGAGATTAAAAAAACTTTTTATAGTAAGATTCCAAAATGGGTTGCCCCCTTAGAGGCTTTTTCTAACCCAAACTTAATGAATGAAGCTAAATCTTCGACGTATGAAATTCCTTTAGATAATAGAGGTGATCTTAAATCACAAGAAACGCTTAATGCGCAAGGTATACTATTTACCTGGTGGGAGAGAAATCAACTGGAGTCTAGGTACTCTAAAGATAGGCAAACCGGTTTTTTAAGAGAGAATTCAGAGCTAGATAAAAGGTTATTGGGTAGTGGAAATAAACTTATCGGGAAACTGTATAATTTTCTGTTAGATTATAAAATGGCTGATGAAGAAGTGAAAGCGTCCATGATATCATGGGCAAGAAATATAGGGCATAGTATTGCGTTAGATGCTAAAATATATGAAAGCAGTTTCTATGAAGGAAAATCTTTTTAAGATGTTTCACCGATGGTATTTAACCCCTGATAGACTTGCACGCTATACTCTATTTCTTCTGATAAATGCTGGAAATCTAAAGCTAAAATAGGCTCCTTTTATCATGTATGGTGGACTTGCGAAAAAATAAAAAAAAATTGGAAAGAAATTCATAACATTATAGTGCAAATAATGAATATCAATCTTCTGTTTGAACCTGAAATGTTATTATTGAATCTTCGACGTGGTCTCTGTGCTTCACACCCATGGGATCTAGTGCACACGCGCTGGATCGATCGGCATTGTAGCAAGCTCTTTAACGGATTTTCGCGCCCAGCCCTCGGGCATGTGCAGGAACCCCACCGCGCATGCCCAGAGGGATGCAGCGTCATCCCGCCAGTTTCTTTCTTTCCACCACGTTGGAAAAACCTTTTCTTCGTCGGTTCGATGGGTTCTCTTTTTTGGCTATTTGCTTCACAGCTCTTCAGATTTTTTCCTCAGTTTTGTTCCTTTTTCTTAGCTTTCTTCGTTTGTTCTTCAAAAAATAAAAAAGTTGTTTTTGTTGAGGGGCAAGTTGCCTCAGTTTGGCCTTTGGCTCCCCCCCAACCCCTTTTTTTCTTCTCCCTGTTCTATTTTTTATGGAGAAGTGGGGCTTTTTCAACCGCTGCAGGGGTTGCGGCAGTAAACTAGCTCCACCTGACCGCCACACCCTCTGTATTTTTTGTTTGGGGGAGTCTCACCGACCTGAGTCTTGTCAGCACTGTGCTAGGTTTTCAAACCAGACACGAAAAAAACGAGCTGCGCACCTTAAAGTGGCGCTTCTTGAGTCGGCATTACATCCCCCCTCAGTGATGGAGTCCGAGAGACCATCAACGGCTCCGGCATCGAGGCCCGCCTCTGACATCGCCCAACTGACATCGAAACCACCGGCATAGAAGGCGCAATCCTCCGCTTCCACGCCGGTGAAGAAGAAGTCCAAGTCGTCACGTATGGAGCTTAAGTCCGCAAAAAAGGGCTCTTCTAAGTCCCTAAAGGCGGCAAAGATGGGGAAGGTAGCGGTGTCTGCACTGGGTGATGCCCCTAAAGTGCCCCCCACTCCAACGGTAGTATCGGCATCAAAGGCCCATCCTGCTCCATCGATACCGACCATTCAGCTCCTGGACTCCCCTATACAACAACTGGAGCGTCCTTACTCCGATATCGAGACTGTGGAGCTCCTTAGTCGTCCTATGGATGCAGAGCCTTCTCCCTCTCCTTCCCTCTCCATCTCCTCCCTCAGAGGCTCCCGACATCGATACACATCGGAATTGACACGCCTCTAGCAACACGCAGCGTCACCCTCCACGTCTGTTGAACCTGTCGATATCGATGACTGAGTTTATAGGGACCGCTCTCAAGGGCATGCTTTGTCCCCGAGACAGACCCGATCCAGAAGTCGATCCCCCCGAGTCTTTCTCCCCCCCCCCTGTCTTGGGATCAACGCCAACTGAGGTATCTCTATGGGGGCTATCCACCATCCATGCCGTGGTTGACTCCGGCGGGCTATTCCGACTGGGATTGTTACTCGACCCACTCTGCTCACAGATCAAGGTCGCCCTACAGATCTAGACCTTCAGCATCTCTGTCTCGTCCTCCAGCCGATGACCCTTCTCACCATATTCCGGAACCCAGTTGTCCTTCCAACCCCCAAGTCGTTCCACCAAAGATTTTAACAAGTCAAACGGAAGTCACTCCAATCCAAATGCCAGATCAGGGCTCCTCTGATTCCGCAGAAGAGGATTCTGATATGGAGGCCTCTGAGGCTCACACCTCCCCTGACCACAAGTCTCCTAACCAAGCTGTCGCAGATGATCTACCTATATCCCCATCCAACAATCTCACTTCCTATGCAGACCTCGTCAAAAGAATGGCCCATTCGCTAGGTCTCTCAGTTGTTCAACAACAACCACAGGTTACAGATGCCATCTTCGATATCGTGCAACTGGATACCTCCACTAGCATAGCACTGCCCATGTCTACGGTCCTTTTACAAGCTGCGAAAGCACCTTGGGTGAAGCCTTCATCAGCCCCAGTGTCAACAAGACGCCTGGACCACATGTATAGAGTCCAGGAGACAGGAGCCGAATTTTTTTTCTCCCACCCTCAGCCGAACTCGATGGTTGTAACATCCTCGTCCAAGTCCAAACGAACGCACTCTGCACCTTCTGACAGGGAAAGTAAAAAATTGGACACGTTTGGGAGACGCTTCTACTCCACGGAGTATTGGGCGTGAAAACCACTAATTACTTAGCCTACATGAGCAGGTATCAATACACTCTGTGGGAACGCTTTTCTGAACTCCTGACGCATCTCCCAGAAGACAAGCTTCAGGCAGCCAGAGTTATTCAAAAGGAGGGCATGGTACTTGCGAAGCAGCAGATCAATACTTCCAAACATGCCCTAGATGCTTCTCAAGAACAATGGCCTCAGCTATAGCTCTAAGACGGCATTCCGGGCTCCATAATACCACCCTGCCACAAGATACTAGGTCTTATGTCGAAGACCTCTCCTTCGATGGCCTTGGTCTCTTCAACAGCACTGCCGACTCCATACTCCAAGATATGGATAAGAGCATAAAGGCCTCTCGCGCTCTATGGTTTTCATCTTCCACGAGGCAACAATATCACCCTCGCACTTGGTCTAGGCGCTGGCAAAAGCACACTCCGAATCGTCAGTCTCCTGACAGACAATGGAGACCGTGTACGTCTTCGGGAGGCCAGAAACTCACCTTTCAAAAACCCAGGTTTTGATCCGGTCAACAATCTTCCTACACTAAGCAGGCGAAGTCTTCCAAGCAGGGCTTTTGACTTCCCTCCCACCAAGTCAGCTCAAACCCGTCTTTCTCCCTTCTTTCACACCTGGCGTCATATCACAACGGACGAATGGGTGCTGCCCATCGTGACCCGAGGCTACCGTATCCATTCCACCAGAACCCCATTACTCCTGTCGTCGTCTCCACACCCCCTTCCCCACCTCTCCTAGAGGAGGGGTCTGTCCTTCTGCACAAAGGAGTCATCGCGCCGGTACCACCATGTCTACATGGGAAGGGGTTCTATTCCCGCTATTTTACAGTTCCAAAGCGAGATGGAGGCGTTCAACCGATTTTAGACCTAAGAGCGTTGAACTGCTATGTGACCTACCACCGCTTCCGCATGGTGTCCTTGCAGCAGATTATGCCACTCCTGCAGAGAAACGTCTGGATGGCCACCCTCGACCTCCAAGACGCATACTTCCACCCCTCCCACCGCCAATACCTACGCTTTGCAATTGGTCAACAGCATTACCAATATGCAGCCCTGCCATTTGGCCTCTCAAGCGCCCCAAGTGTCTTCACAAAGACTATGATTGGCTCCTGGTAGCATCCTCCAGGGACGCCCTGGTCTCAAACATCAACGAGACACTGGCACTCCTGGAGAACCTGGGCCTACAAGTCAATCGGGGAAAGTCTCAACTTCAACCGGTTCAGAAAATACAGTACATAGGTGCCCTACTAGATTCCAAGACATGCATAGCTTACCTGCCGCAAGACAGAGCGGCAGACATCATTTACCTAGCCAATGTCGTCCGTACCCAGCCTTCAGTCACGGCTTTCCAGATACAGAGGCTACTTGGCCTTAATGCCGCAACTACGTCGTTCCTGGTCTTTGCCAGATTAAGAATGCATCGCCTACAACTGTGGTTTATCCGCAAGTTCAACCCGACGGAAAACGCACATACCACCGTCCTAACCCCTCCTCCCAACATACGAGTCCCTTTACTTTGGTGGACTGTTCCTTCCAATCTCTTCCAGGGAGCACCTTTCCATCGTCCGTCACCCCAAATCACCCTAACCACGGATGCCTCCCTGTCGGGCTGGGGTGCCCATATGATGGGTCTTGTGTCGGAGGCAAGTGGAACACTCACGAGCAAAAACGGCACATAAACTTCCTGGAATTGCTTGCAATACAGTTGGCTGTCATGAGTTTCCTACCGCTGATCAAGGGGAAACGTGTTACGGTCCTCACGGACAACACCACTGCACTCAGTTATGTCAACAAGCAAGGAGGCACGGTCTTCCTACGCCTTTGCAACCTTGCCATCCAGTTGTGAGACCTTTGCATCGCCCATGACATCTTCTTAGTAGCCACGCACATCCCAGGGCACATGAATGTGCAGGCAGACCATCTAAGTCGAGCAGGACTCAGTCTCCATGAGTGGGAAATGAACCCAACCTACCTCCTCCCACTCTTCCGCAGAGGGGGGGGTTCCCCAAGTCGATGTCTTTGCCACCAGAGCCAACAAAAAGTGCCCTCTGTTCTGCAGCCGAGGCGGCAGGGACCTACAGTCTCTAGGGGACGGTCTCCTCTATCCGTGGTCCCGGGAACTTCTCTACCTCTTCCCTCCACTACCCCTGCTTCTGAGAGTGGTCCGCAAAATCATCAGCGATGGAGTAGACTGCATCCTAATAACCCCGTGGTGGCCGAGGCAGCCATGGTTCTCGACCATCCTCGAATTGTCATCAGGGGTCTACCACCAATTTCCTCCAGCACAGGACCTCCGCTTCCTGTCCGACTCCCCTCTCCTGTACCACAACGTGCCACAGATGAAGTTGACGGCCTGGAGAATAGCGTCAACAGTTTTTCCACCCGTGTAGCAAACGTTTTGCTAAACGCCAGCAAGCCTACTATGCGAAAGTCGTACCATTACAAATGGCAAAGGTTCTGTTCCTCCTTGGGTGACGATGCCCCTCGAGCCACCTCCGTGGGTCTTGAGAAAGTTTTCGAATTCCTCCTGTCCCTAGCTGACTCGGGACTTTCTCGCTCCTCATTAAGAGTTTATTTGGCTGCGCTTTCGGCTTACCATGTTCAAGTTGAAGGATGCACACTGTTTTCACATCCGCTTTCAAAACGTTTTTTAAAGGGACTGTTGTACCTTTACCCTCCCATCAGAACTCCTGTCGTTCCCTGGGACCTTCCTGTAGTTCTTCTTTAGCTCACGAGGAAACCCTTTGAGCCACTCGCAACTTGTGACCTAAAATTCCTGTCGTGGAAGACGGCCTTTCTGGTTGCTGTCACCTCTGCGAGGCGAGTTGGAGAAATACTGGCTTTCAGACATGACACGCCTTGCTTGTCCTTTTTGCCAGACGGTGCCCGCCTCGTACCTGACATCTCGTTCCTGCCAAAGGTAGTGTCAGAATTCCACCTACAGGCAGAGGTCTTCCTCCCGGATTTCTTCCCGGCTCCGACATCCTCAGAGGACAGACTGTTACACACCTTGGATGTGAAGCATGTGTTCCTGTTCTACCTGAACAGAACCCATCCGACGAGACGTGACTCCCAACTATTCATCTCGTATGCACCATCAAGGCTGTGGACTCGTCAGCGCCTCTCAAAGTGGATTGCGGGGCTCATCCGCCTCTGCTACCTGATCGCCAAACAGGCATTGCCTGGCCCTATCAGGGCCCATTTGACCCGAGCTGTTGCAGCTTCCACTGCCTTCCTCCAGGGAGTTCCCTGTTGGACATTTGCAGAGCCGCTACATGGGCTACGCCTAACACCTTCATAAGGCGTTACGCCCTAGACGTCCGAAAGAACTCTAGTACCAACATGGGATGTCACATCTTGTCTTTGGCTATGCCAGCACCCTCCTCCAGGTAGGCCACTGCTTGCTAATCTCCCATGGGTGTGAAGCACAGAGACCACGTCGAAGATAAACAGGTTGCTTACCTGTAACTGATGATCTTTTAGTGGTCATCTGTGCATTCACACCACCCGCCCTCCTTCCCCGCTGCTGTCAGCGTCTACATTTTCCATAGGGGTTGATCTGCGGCGGTTCAAAGGAACTGGCGGGATGTCCGCGCCCACCCCTCTGGGCATGCGCGGTGGGGTTCCTGTGCATGCCCGAGGTCTGGGTGCGAAAATCCATTAAAGAGCTTGCTACAGTGCTGATCGATCCAGCACGTGCACACTAGATCCCATGGGTGTGAATGCACAGATGACCACTCGAAGATCATCAGTTACAGGTAAGCAACCTGTTTATATTATGCCAGATATATTACAGAAGAAAGATGTTTATCTATGTACACATCTGGTAACAGCAGCAAGAATGATACTTGCCAAACATTGGAAGAAAGACGATTGTCCGACTCATAAAGACTATGTAACTAAGATTCCGGAAGTAGCAGAAATGGACGATCTGACCTTGAAAATACGTGGAAAAGAAGATGGGACTTTTCAAAATATATGGCGAAAATTCTATGAGTGGTTGGACCCACACTCATAGATGGTTTAAGCTTTCCTGATGTACTTACAGTCAATAACTTATGTATACCCGGAGAAGGATCTTATTTTAATCAATTGTTTATTTGTTTTTTTTGTTTGAGGTTTGTTGGAATTCAAAACAATAAAAATAAGGGCTTTGCCCGTAAAAAAAAAAAAAAAAAGGAAATAGAAATGCTGAGGATTGAACCTGAGACCTTCTGGATGCAAAGCATATGCTCGACCATTGGGGCCAGTCCCCAACACTTGCTCAGTCTTGGGGGTCTTTCCTGGAGCAAGGAGCTGTATAAAAGTGATTTGTTCCTCGAAGAACTACTGTCTAACTATCTGTGGAATGTGGGCGTAGTCATTACAGTCTTTAGTTTATAGCAGCCCTGGTAGTTAATAAGAACGGAGTGATATTTACAAGGGTGGCAGGTGAATCAGGCCTGTGTTAATATTCTTACCCATGAACACCATCCCTGGTAGGTGGAGGGCCTGTGTCTCAGTGGTAGAACATCTGCTTGGCATGCAGATGGTCTCAAGTCCAATCCCTGGCATCTCCAATTAAACAGGATGGGGTAGGAAGTGATGTGAAAGACCTACGCCTGAGACTCTGGGGAGCTGCTGCTAGTCTGAATACACAGTACTGACCTTCATGGACCAACCATCTGATAAAGTATAAATCAGCTTCGTGTGTATAAAACCAACAGATACCTGCTAGATCCAAAAAGACTTGCACACAGCCTTTGTTAGCTGCTGGTAGATATTGTTCAGCCGACGAGGGACTAAACAAAGAGCAAACTAGCTCCGAAAGGCCCTTCGTGTTATAAATGCAGTGGTTTTTTTCCTGCTAATCCAGCAGTCACCCCTTTCTCCCTTTAGGATCAAGACCACAGTGCGGGCCGGACAGGAACAGTGAACAGTGTTGGCAGCAACCAGTCCATCCCTAGCATGTCCATTAGTGCCAGTAGCCAAAGCAGTAGTGTGAATAGTCTTCCAGATGCCTCTGATGACAAGAGCGAGCTGGATATGATGGAGGGGGACCACACCGTGATGTCAAACAGCTCTGTCATCCACTTGAAGCCAGTAAGTCAGACTGGTTCCTGGGGAGCTCAGGGGGAGAGGCCTTCGATGCCTAGCATTTCTGTGGGGGAGGGACCGATGTATGTTTGAAACCGCAGTGCAAGGTTTCATCACAGGCAGCATTGAAGAGGGATTCTGCTGTTTGTGGGCTATGCAAACTCATTGAGGAGGGGAGTGGCCAGATATCTGGGCACAGGTGCCCAGATATTTAGGGAGGCAAATAGAAAAGGGATTCGTCATCCGCCTAAAAGGAGGACGAAGAACAGTGATCCCTTTGCCTGAAGATAAAGAAATTATTCTCTTCTGGAGAGAGCATCTTAGTGGACTGATCAAGGCTTTGCCTAAATGAGGATGTCTCTGCTCCTGTACGACTGGGACATGAAATTTTAGGTGGCTGTCCTGCAGAGTAAGGGGAGAACTGGCAGGCAGGGGTATATGTGGGTGTGTTTTCACTGGTCAAAAGCTTGTTGAATGTTGGCAAGATGTCACAGCTCATGGAAGGATGTCACAAGAGAGGTCACAGGCTGCTGAGCGAATGCTCCTGCACAAAGACTGTGCCTTTGCACACCTCCCATTCATTTCATTTGGGGCAGGAGAACTTCCCTAGTCAGCTGTTTCCCACACACACCGTGGGTCAGATCAGTCAGATCCCGCTCTGCTGCCCCTGCCAGAAGCCTGCCATCCAGAGGATCCACCTCTCTTCTCATTGTTGGGCTGCTTCATGCTGGGAATGACCCAGGGTCAGCAACGGTTTCCTCCTCTTGATGTGGGTTTCTGTGGATCCTTTCTGGACAGCTCATAATCTCACTAAAGCAGCTGTAACTTTACATTTTAATGTTTCCTTGAGAGTCTGGCTGTAGCTTCATGGTGGTATTTTGTTGCTAAAATATGTTTCATTACCTCGGTGATGATTACATCTGTGTGTATGGCTGGCTCCTCCATTTGAGGGGGCCTGGTGAACTTAGCCTTGTGACTTGGAAAGAATGCCGAGAGCATGCTGGTGTGTATGGGGATTTAGGGGGTTCAGTGGCAATTGCCCATTACAAGTTTTGAAACCTCTTTCTGCAGTTGACGTGTCTCTGGTGTGCAGTCATGCGCTTGTAGCTGCAGGTCTGTAAATGAAGTGCCAAATCCTGCAGCTGATGAGGTTTTCCTTCCCCCTCCTTTACAGTTTTATAAATCCAGTTGGCTGGCAGCAGTTGGCTTTTCAAAGTCTGTGATAGCAAAATGGTCAAGGTGCAAACACGGGTGTCTGTTAATACTGCTACTTCTCCCAAGGATGAAGAAAATTACCGAGAGGATTCAGACCCAAGGCTGAGAACGTCAGAACCGCATTCTCCACCCCAAGTGTCTCGCCACAGGTCCCATTACCGCAACCGAGAGCACTTTGCTACCATACGCACAGCATCACTGGTAGGCTGACATCTTCCTTCTGTGGCAGTGGTTTAGGCACTTGGCTAGAGACGGTCATTGTGAATGTTTGCCAGAGCCCTGTGCATGGTTGACAGGTTTGCTCCCCCTGCTCCAAAAATATAAGATAATTCATGTAAAACTGCCCCCAGTCCTATCCTGTAAATATGTCAATGAAGTCTCAGTATCTCTCATCTAATGAAACTAAGCCAGTTTTAAACTCTTTATAAAAGATGATTAAGGGACTGGAGCACATCTCCTATGAGGAATGGCTGAAGTGTCTGGGACTTTTCCATTTAGAAAAGGGATGATTGAACCGGGGAGATGATAGAGGTTTCTAAAATCATGCACAGGGTAGAGAAAGTGGGCAGAGAGAAATTTTTCTCCCTTTCCCAAAGAACTTGAACTTGTAGGGCATCCAGTGAAGCTGATGGGCAGTAGGTTCAGAATGGACAAAAGGAAATACTGTTTTGTCATCTAGTTATTAAAATGTGGGAATCTCTGAAGTAGTGGTGGCCACAGGCACAGAGTGCTTTAAAAGAGGATCAGACACGTTCATGGTGACTAAAGAGAACTTCCACATTCAGTGGCAGTAAACTTCTGAATACCATAGCTGGGAGACAACATCAGAGGAAGGCCTTGGCCTCTGTGTCCTGTTTGTTGGCCCTCTATAGTAACTGGTTGGCCACTCTGTGAGACAGGATACAGGACTAGATGGACCACCTCATCTGATCCGGCAGGGTTGTTCTTAGTTCTCATTTCCCTAACACTAGCACAGTTTTTAATCTGCTTTTCCTTGGAGAAATCAGAGTTAATTCTGTGAGGTGTCTCTGTCAACAGTGCTGCAGCACTGGATGCTCCCAGACTGTTCACAGGATTTGTCATCTCGGAGCCTCTGGTACTGAAACTGGGAGATATTAATTGTGGCCTTTAAGAGGCCAGGTTTTGTTCATCTGTACTCAGATGACATTGAAACAACAAGACTGCTTTAGGAATTAAATGGGCCTTTTGAAGTGTAATGGAGATAGCGCCAGTCTTAGTTCAAATTTGTCACAGCTGTCATAGGTCACCCATCATCTTCTTGTCAATGGTAAACTTTCCTCTGCAGATACCTGATCCAGTAAAGATGGCTGAGTGTCGCTTCTCAGAATGCTCTCCTATGACTCAGGGCTGTTCTTTGTAAGAGTAACGGGGTTCTTTTGGGTGTGGTGGCCAAAGGAGAGGAATAATTTTACTAGTCGTGAGTTGCCCCTAAGATTTGTGACAGCAATTACTTGTGTGCACATAATGCATGTTTATTTATTTATTTATTAGATTTTTATCCCGCCCTCCCGCAAAAGCGGCTCAGGGCGGCTTGCAACATTAAGTAAACGTGAGTAACCGTGGCCTCTGTCATACCCTGTCTTCCCATAGGTAACTAGGCAAATGCAGGAACATGAACAGGATTCAGAGCTCCGCGAGCAGATGTCTGGTTACAAGAGGATGCGGAGGCAGCACCAGAAGCAGCTGATGGCCCTGGAGAACAAACTGAAGGCTGAGATGGATGAGCATCGCCTTAGACTGGACAAAGACCTCGAGACGCAGCGCAACAACTTTGCGGCAGAAATGGAGAAACTCATCAAGAAGCACCAGGCAGCCATGGAGAAGGAGGTAAAGATTTATTTCTCCTGGTCTGCTTTGCAGGTGATGCTATTTTGAGCTTGCCGCCTCCCTTTTCTGGAGCCAGGCTGGTGCTTTGGCCCCAGATGCGACTCTTTGCAAGAGCCGGATGTTTTCTCTGCTAACTTTGAGGGTGGAATATGAACTAGGAAGGAATCTTGCATCACTGTGCCGGCAGCTTTATTTCATGTGTCTGTGATGAGAGATGCATTTACTTGTAGTTGTATTTCTTGAGTATGCCTTTTTCTCCTGGGCTTGGTGTAGGCAAAAGTAATGGCCAATGAAGAGAAGAAGTTCCAGCAACACATTCAGGCCCAGCAGAAGAAAGAACTAAACAGCTTCCTGGAGTCCCAGAAGAGAGAGTACAAACTCCGCAAGGAGCAGCTGAAAGAGGTAACTTTAATGCAAGGGCTCCTGAGCATGAGCACTATGGAACATTAGTCTAGTTAGCAGTTCTGATTGACAGCCTAATAGATATTGCAGCTGTCATGCAAAAGCTGGCCCTATTAGCTGTGAGGGCAGCTTTGTTTAACAGGGCCTTTGGAACAAGGATCACATTTGCAAGGAGATCCTTTGTTTTCTTTGGGTTGTCCTGTAAAACCCAAGGAGGAAGATAGGTAAAGGTTTCCCTTGCTCGGAAGCTAGTTGAAAGCTAGGGGGTGGTGCTCATCTCCATTTCTAAGCCAAAGAGCCAGTGTTGTCCAAAGATGTTTCTGTGGTCATGTGGCCGGCATGACTAAATGTCGAGGCACACGGAACGCTGTTACCTTCCCACTGTTACCTTCCCACTATCTACTTGCAATTTCTTGCTTTGAACTGTTAGATTGGCAGGAGCTGGGGCCAGAGACGGGCGCTCACTCCGTCATGCGGTACTAGGGTCTTGAAGTGCCGAACTACAGACCTTCCGGTCTGCAGCCCAACATCTTAACCTCTGAGCCACGGCAGCCCTCAAGGAGGGGGATACAGCTCCATATTATAATGTGCATGGCCAAGCAAAGCACTAGTCCCAGAAATCTGTATCTTGCAAGCCTTGCACTTGGAATAGGGAAAAAACTTCTCAAGCCAGGACTCCTGTGTTTCTGTGGAAACACCTCTCTTGGGTGTGTTCATGCAAACAACACGATATCCTAACAGATAGAAGGCGTCACTCTTGTTGCATGTATCAACTTGTGATTGGTTCAGGCATGTACTCTTGTGCTCATCTGGGGAGTTCCTTGCAGTACCAAGGAATGCAGAGGTGTGAAGCTTTTGGATTTTTTGCAAGCTAAACCAGTCTGCTGGTGTGTAGCGGGGAGCCTGTTTCTTTGTTTTGAAACAGCTCCATACCGCCTTTCTTCCCTCAGGCCCAAGGCAGCTCTCAGCAAAATAAAACCATTACAGACTGATAGAACAATTAAAAGGGAAAAAAAATCAAAACGAATATTTAAAACCCATTTCAGCACAAAAATTAGATCAGCAGCAGCAGCAACAACACAAAGCGTAGGGTGGAGGGACATCAGTGAGGGATTAAAAACTTGTTGGAAGAAAAGTACTTAACCTGGTGCTGAAAGTCATTGACAAAGCTAAGTAAAGGGAGAGGCCAAGAGTATTCTGAATCCAGGCCTGTAGCCAGGATTTTGTGGCTGGTGGGGCAAGCCACAAAAGTCCTCAGTGCAGAAAGAAAAGCCATTTAGCCAGTAGAAAGCTTTTACCAGGATAGAGCTCTAAATTGGAGCCGCTTTAGAGGACAGTTCTCAGCTGCTGCCAGTTAATCACTTCTGCCAGCCTAAGCAGCAATTCTGATAACAAGCCGGCAGGTGGGGGTGATGACTTCAGTAGTCAAGAAAGCTAACACTTCGGCAGAAAAACTCTCTTAAAGGAGACCAGTTTCTTGGTACAGAGTTAGAAGGTATCCTAGAGGTCACCTTCTCCACCCCCTTGCTCAGTGCAGGAATTAGTCAACTACAGCACCCCACTCTGCTTAAAGAGGTGCTTGCCTTTAAAAAAATGTTTTAAAATTCTTGAAAAAAGTATTTACAGGAGAAATTCTTGCGGCGCTGTGACTTTAAGAAAGGGGGCGGAGCCCCAAAAAGCCCCACCATAGGGGCCTGTCTTGATCCCCGCATGGAGTGGAGGTTAACTACTGAAAACACCATCTGCCTCACTCGTAAAGGTGGGGGGCACAAATTGGGACCTCCAGTGAAAAACGTATTGACTCAGCAAACTTTAATGGAGGTAGTCAGTCCCAGGCTGTACAGGGCTCTGAAAGTAAAAACCGCCCCCTTGAGTTGGGCCTGGAAACAAACAGGCAATGAGCAAAGGCTTCTCGGGATATAATAGTCTTATGTGTACTCCGCACCTGCTGGCAGTCTCGCAGTTGCATTCTGGGCTACCCAAAGTGTCTGACCCACCTTCCAGAGCAGCCCCAAGTAGTCCGTGCGAGAGAAATCTGATAAGCTTACCATGCCGAAAATCACTTTTCTGGTATTTTAGGAGCTGAATGAGAACCAGAGCACTCCCAAGAAGGAGAAGCAGGAGTGGCTGTCCAAGCAGAAGGAGAACATCCAGCACTTCCAGGCAGAGGAGGAGGCAAACCTGCTCCGGCGGCAGAGGCAGTACTTGGAGCTGGAGTGCCGCCGCTTCAAAAGGAGAATGCTGCTCGGGCGTCATAACTTGGAGCAGGATCTCGTCCGGGAGGTGCGTATGGCGGAAGTGGAGAAACTCTAGGCTGTTTGGTCCTGTAGCCCAGTGCCCACCAAAAGCCAAGCTGTGTCTCTCTGTCTCTCGGCTTACTTGGTGCCGTGTTGCACCTTTGGGTTGAGTTCTGTGCCTGCCACTTCTTGTGGAAAGGAGTACATGGAAGCGGAAAAATACTTGCTTTTTGTCCTGGGCCATGGCTGAGAATACCTGTATTGGATCACCTGTAATTTACTTACTTCATTTATACCCTGTCTGTCTCCCCAATGGGGACCCAAAGAAGTTTACATCATTCTCTTCTCCTGCATTTTATCCTCACAACAACCCTGTGTGGTGGGTTAGACTGGGAGTGTGTGGCCCGATCTTGTACACACCACAGTATGCAGATTAGAACAGGGATATATTTTGAGAACTGGCATTGAAGAGAGAGAAAAAACACCTGCCTGCTGTAGTCCCTGGGATCTTTCCCATAGCCTTAGCAGAGAGTGATGCTTCCTGCTGTTGCCCGTTTGCATTGGTTGACTTAGTGACATCCCAAAGAATCTTGATTGGGGAGGGTTATTTCTCAAGCTACTGGAATCCCTTACAGGTAAAAATCATGCTGGAAAATGCACAAGGCATGAAGCACTTTCCTTATAATATTTTTTATCTTTTAGATATTTTTACCCTGCTTTTGTCTTCATTGGGGGGAACCCAAAGTGGTTTACAACAATGTTCTCTGCTCTGTTTTTACAAACGAAGACTTAAGTGTTTGGAGCTTCTTAGGAAAAAAACTTGGGGGGGGGGGAGATGAAAGCACAAGGCAGGCTTATCAACTTATGAATGATGTGGAGGCCTGATGGAAAAATGTCTCTTAATCTCATGAAGGTAAAACTTGATCACTCGAAGAAGAAGAGAAGATATTGGATTTATACCCCACCCTTCACTACCCAAAGGTGTCTCAGAGCGGCTTACAATCTCTTTCTCTTCCCCTCCCCACAACAGACACCCTGTGAGGGAGGTGGGGCTGAGAGAGCTCTGACAGAAACTGCTCTTTTTCAAGAACAGCTCTTTTCAGAACTACCACTTGCCCAAGGTCATCCAGCAGGTGCAAGTGGAGGAGTGGGAAATCAAACCTGGTTCTCCCAGAGTAGAGTCCGTGCACTTAACCACTACACCAAACTGGCTCTAACCACTACACCAAACTGAAGGTTTGAAACTACACCAAACTGAAGGCTGAACAACCTAAGTACTGCTTTTCACAAGAAATAATTCACTGCCCCCAAGAAGTAGGGATGGTTGGCCACTAGATTACATGGCTTAAAAAAGAAAGAACTGACAGATTTGTAAATCACTTCTCTGCTGACAGTCCTGATGGTGAAATGCAACTTTAATGCTACGTGACAGGATCTGGGGACAAACAACAAGGAGGGGTGGACTCCTTCATGCCCTCCTCATGTGTTTTCTCTGAGACATCTGGCTGGTGGCTTTAGGGAGCAGGACGTGGGGCAAGACGGGCCTCTGGTTCAGTCCCACAAGCCAGCTCTTCTGGTGTGAACCCCCTCACACACAAACACATACTTAAATGAGGGACTAACAACCATGTGTTTGTGACCCAGGAACTAAACAAGAGGCAGACCCAGAAGGATCTGGAGCACGCCATGTTGTTGCGCCAGCATGAGTCCATGCAAGAGCTGGAGTTCCGGCACCTCAACACCATCCAGAAGATGCGCTGCGAACTGATCCGCCTGCAGCACCAGACAGAGCTCACCAACCAGCTGGAGTACAACAAGCGGCGGGAGCGAGAGTTGAGGCGCAAGCATGTCATGGAGGTCCGGCAGCAGCCCAAGAGCCTCAAGGTACTTCTGGGCCCTTGTTAGTGGGAAGTCCTCTCCACTTGGTTGTTGACTGATGTGGTTGGAGAAATTACCAGACCTTGGTGGTCCATGTAGTTAAAGCCACAGTGGACAAAAGGGGCAGCAGCCCATGGCAGTAATGTGATGTACTTGTGCTCTGTCGTTGGCTACCAGGTACGTCGAGCGAGACTTCAGGTCCCATGTAGCTAATGGTAAACTGGGCTTCTTGTGTTCTGTGCTGAAGTTCTGCACCAGAATTCTATGCTTTGTTCTGTCCAAAGACAAGCTGAACCTGCAGCACGTACAGAGGGTTGCGACTTAAGAAAAAATTGAGGCTAATTTTTTAAAAGCTAGTTTTCAAAATATTCTGAGTCACAGGACAGGGCCAGGAACTCATGTAGGCAACTGAGCACCCTCTTTACCATTTGACACACCGGGCAATCCTCATTTGCTTTCAAGCATGCCAAAAACTTACTTTCATGTAGGTAGGAAAAATTGTGTCCATGCTGGAGGGAAGGATAAGTAACTCTTCGTGATTCTGTGGATGGCAATGCACAGCTGCTGTGGGTTGACGCAGTTTTGTCTGATTAGTTCCAGTAACTAATGAAAATTTGGCATGCAGTTACAGGGCATTGGTTTCAGCTGATCCTCCCCTTTTTCTTTTGTTTTCGCCTTCCTCTGTGTAAATGCTTCCATCACATTGTAAACAAAATAAACGTTGAGGGTGTTGCTTGCAGTGGCCAGTGAGGGGGCCTTGAGCATGGGAAAGGTCTTGCCCACTCCAGAAGGATAAGTGGCCTTTTTACAAGCCACCAATTCCCCCCCCCCCCCCGATACCTGGGTAAAATGGTTCTCCTGCAAAGACATGATGTAAGTTCTTGCTATTGGAGTTGAACTTGATTACAAAAAACTTGGGGGCGGAGAGGCAGTGGAGTCACCAAAATGTTCCTTGATAAATAGCTGGCAACTGTGTAGAGAGGCACTGGGCCAGATCAAGTTAGCCAAAGTTACGCAAAGTCTGTCACTATTCCTGGAAGTACTTCTGTTGTGTCTGGCAGCAGCTACAGCCTTAAGAATGGCTGCCCAGTCCTGAGGGGGGGGGGGACACAAGTGTTTCACACCAACCACTGGGACCAAGAACGGAATGAGGTCTTGCTTCTGTCAGTCACTTTGTATGCTTGTGTTGCCTCATGTTGGTCTTCAGAGAGAATAATGATCATTTCATAATGATTTTGAGAGCCTTAAATTATCATGCAGATGAACTCCTGCCGTGCAGCGGGTGGGCCGGAATGATCTTGTTAGATGTCTGGCTGGGAGGCTTGCTCCTTGCAGTTAAAGCTTCTGGTCTTGGAAGCTGCAAATAGAGCTTCCCTCTAAGTTGAGTTAGTGTGAGCTAGCTCACGGTTTTTTAGCCTTCAGCGCACAGATTTTTGTCCCAGCTCAAGAAAGATGGCTCCAGAGCAAACTAATTTATGCAGTAGCCAAATCGCTTGCTCACAACTTTAATGTCAGTCACTCACAAAGTAGAATTTTGGCTCACAAGACTCCACAGCTTAGAGGGAACATTGCACCCATGGATGTTTTCCCTTCAATTGATGTGTCAAGCTTTCCTTTCCCTCCCCCTTCCTTTTGCAGGGATTGTGATAAGGGTGTACTCTACCTTAGACTGACCACTTAACACGTGGGTCCTGCTTTGACAGGTCAGTGGCCATCATTAGTGCACCTGGTAGCCACGTGGAAGCTGGAGACACATTTTGAGACTGCACAGTGGTGGATATCTCATTCTTTCACCACTTGGTATCTGAGTTGGAGAAGTCATTCCTGTGCTGGCATCCAAGCAACTTCGTCAAAGCATGTTTATGGGCCTTGTCCCATAATTCATTTTATTTGCTTTAGCCCAGTTTTCCAGCCAGTTGGGTCGACTGAAGTTCTGCAATCCACCTCGACTCTCCACGAGAAAGGCACAGTATAAATTAATAAATACACATTTTCTCCCCTAGTCTAAAGAGCTCCAGATAAAGAAGCAGTTCCAGGATACTTGCAAGATCCAGACCCGGCAGTATAAAGCCTTGCGGAACCACCTGCTGGAGACCACACCAAAGAGCGAGCACAAGGCGGTCCTGAAACGGCTCAAGGAGGAGCAGACCCGGAAGCTGGCCATCCTAGCGGAGCAGTATGACCACAGCATCAACGAGATGCTCTCCACGCAAGCAGTGAGTTTCCACCAAAGCTGCTGGTTGGAGTGTTACGTGTGCTTGAGAAAGAGAGACTGTGGGAACATTGTGGCCCATGGCGTCCCCTCTTTCCGATCCCTTCCTGATATGCAATGGGGAGTGTGTATTTATAGTCTCTCATGTATCTTGTTTGATGTGAATTTTAGTCTTAACTGTTTTAACCTGTTTTACCGCTATTGCATATTGTGCCTATGTGGAGGGATTGTCCAAGGATTAGGTCTGCAGAGCCTTTGGCAAGCTGGGGACTCATTAGTTAGCTTCAAACAGATGGCTCTTCAGGCCTCTCCTGTCTGCAAGACCAGGGCTATTTTTGGGCAGGAACGCACAGGAACGGAGTTCCGGCTGGCTCCCAAGTTGGCCACATCCAGCAGGAACTTATTAGCATAATAGGCCACACCCAACAGCAGGAACTCATTAGGATTGGCTACATTAGGGGTGTGTGGCCTAACATGCAAAGGAGTTCCTGCTACAAAAAAGCGCTGGGTTTTGACAACAAACAAGGTAAACAGAATAACAAGCAAAAGGTGGGTGTGGCTGGATGACCACACTTCTGGTAACATGTGGGTGCGGCCTAATGTGCTAATGAGCTGTGCTGTCAGGGGTGTGGCCCAATATGCTAATGAGTTTCTGCTGTTGGGTGTGGCCTATTATGCTAATGAGTTCCTGCTGGGCTTTTTCTACAAAAAGAGCCCTGTGCAAGACTATTGCTAAACTGTCCTGCCTCAAACCTCTGCAGTGCGTACCCCGACAAATGGCGGCTTCTCTCTCTCTCTCTCTCTCTCTCTCTCTCTCTCTCCCCCCCCCCTTACCCCCTCAGAGAGGGGGTTACAAGCAGCTGCCTCAACAGCACATACCCGTCTCCATCTTTTTTTGCAGCTGCGACTGGACGAGGCGCAGGAAGCAGAGTGCCAGGTTCTCAAGATGCAGCTGCAGCAGGAACTGGAGCTGTTGAACGCTTACCAGAGTAAAATCAAGATGCAGGCAGAGGCCCAGCATGACCGGGAGCTGCGTGAACTGGAGCAGCGGGTGTCTCTGCGCAGGGCTCTCCTGGAGCAGAAGGTATGATGGCAGATGACGCCGACAGTTTGGAAGCTGCGTTGGCCACTCTGGTGGGGGGGGGGTTTGGAGGGGGATGGTCTGGGGGTGGGAATCTGTACATGCACTGAACGTAACATGAAAATTACTCAACGCGCATACAAAAACAATCAAGTGCATAGTATATGTGGATTGTGCATTCACTGCAACATGGGGACAAGATGAAGGATGTGAGTTCTTGGTGCCAAAAACATTATAATCCTGCACCCGGACTTTGAGAAAATGCTGAATTCTGTACACTGTATAAAGTGTACGCAAATTGAGGGAATGTTCATAATCCCTTTTTATTTTCACACACTTTATGCTCTGACACCGATTATTTTGTGCAGTTTTGATGTTGCCAACCGTCAGGTGTACTCACACACACGTGTACTGCCATTTTCACTTGCTGGGTATCCGCTGCTGATTTCCCTAGTTCCCTGACAAGATTCTTTTCTGTCCCCCCATCCCCACTGGCTGCAGCACTGCAAAGCTCACTGCACAGACATAGTCAGAAGGGGAGCCAGGAGGACACTTAACAACTGGAATACTACACACATACCCCTTTCAGAGTTCCCTCTAAGCTGAGTTAGTGTGAGCTAGCTCACAGTTTTTTAGCCTCCGGCTCACACCTTTTTGTCTTCGCTCAGGAAGGACGGCTCCAGAGCAAACTAACTTATGCAGTAGCCAAATGGCTTGCTCACAACTTTAATGCCAGCAGCTTACAAAGTAGAATTTTTGCTCGCAAGACTCCACAGCTTAGAGGGAGCATTGACCCCTTTGTTTCTGCTGTGTGTAAAGGGCAGAGTGTCTGAACCCTGGTGGCACGCGGTCTTAGAGAGCCCGTCGCCTCCCCTTCCCATTGTGAAGGAACTGGAGGTGAGTAACAAGAGGCGGAGGATCTTGCCCACCAGTGGTCATTGTCTCCAAAATGTGGCTGAATTGGTCCTGACTGGATGACTTCTGAGAGCAGCCCAGAACAGTCTCTTTGTTCTCTTTCACCTAATTTCTACCTGTGCATCTCTCGTTCTGAAAATGCAGGGGCAGCATGATGTAGCTCCCACTGCCTGCCTCGTTGGACTCTGTTACGGAATTGTGATTGGTTGCTGGGAAGTCAAAAGCCTATCCAGTGTGGTGCGGGACCAACATGTGTTTACTGAGGGTGGTGACTTTGCTTTTGCTTTAAACCTGGGTAATAACCTGTTTGGGGCAGGAGGATTCTGACTAAGCTTTTTCCCAGCTATGCCCTTGGAGCTAACTCAAGCATAGGAGATTTAGTTAAAAAATCCGTTGTTCCCCAGCTGGTGTGACTGTAGACAGGATTGCATGAGTGAGTGCAGGTTGCTTTCCTGTGTTCTGTCTGCAGGCTTTGACTGCCACTTGGCAGTGTGACTAGTAAGAGTCTGTGCTGCTTTGCTGAGAATCCTGATGGTGTGTTGGATGCCGTTCCAAAGAAACTCTTCAAAAAATATCTCCATTGTCTTTTTATATCAAAAAACAAACACACATGCTCAAAGCTCATAGCAGCTTCCATGAAATAATGCTCCATTCTGAAGCCTGGATTTAGGCCACATATAGGCCTGACCTGTACCTATTACTAACACCTGTAGGCCTGACCTGAAAGCCACGCAGGTTTAATACTACAAGCAGAACCATCCTGTATCTTGACTTTTGGCCTCCAGGATGATATCTGGAGGTTTAACTGGCCTGCTGTTGAGGGGAAATTCCAGGCGCTGTTGTTTTTAATAAAAGGTTGAGTGTTCCAGTGTGTGTTTCATGAATGATTACGGCCTCTTAGTATCCATATCTAAATAGAAACCAGAGGGTGTTTAAAAACTTCATCTGCATCAAAGCTCCCTCTGCAACTTTAAAGCTGGGCTTTTGGCAAAAGAAAGTTATTTCATTCTTACATCTTCTTTAGAGTTAATCCAGGTGACAGAATGTATTGCCCCAGCAGGATTCTGTAGCCTCAGTTCTGCAAAGGCAAACAAGCGGCACATACCTTACCCTTGGAGTTCTAAGCTCCTTGAATCATTAGTCTGTTGCTCCTCCAGAGAGCACACTACTCTCTCACTTCAAGTTCTCCCCACCTGCCCCAGCCCCTTTCTGTTGCTTGTGAGCCCTTGAGTATAAACATAGCTGCTTTGGATGGACACCCCAGTGCATTTGATGAAGTGAGCTCTGACTCAAAAGGTTACGTGGGAATAATTTTTTTTAGTCTTTAAGGTGCTGCTGGACTCCTTTCAGTGTTGCTACAACCAGCTAACACAGCTGCCTCCTATAAGAGGTGGCTATCATCTTCCCAAGACAGCACATGTGCTGCTTGGTGGAATGAGCATAGAGATTTCATGCACAGGGCCCTCATGGTTTAGGTTGTGTTGCTGTTTTGGGCAGAGAGCCCTGATGGGCTGTCCTGTAATTCACTGCCACAGGAGGTGGCGGCGGCTACAAGCATGGACAGCTTCAAGAGGGAACTGGATAAACATATGGAGCAGAGGTCCATCAGTGGCTATTAGCCACAAGGTATAGATAGGAACTCACAGGTTGGGGCAGGTGACGCCCTGTACTCTTGGTGCTTGGGGGAGGGGCAACAGTGGGAGGGCTTTTAGTGTCCTGGCCCCCCTGCTGGACCTCCTGATGGCACCTGGTATTTTTGGCCACTGTGTGACAGAGTGTTGGACTAGATGGGCCATTGGCCTGATCCAACATGGGCTTCTCTTATGTTCTTATGCATTCTACCTCAAGCATCACTGAATAATTAGAATTGTCTGGCAAAGGTCTGTGCCTTAGAAAGACCTGATGTCACCTTCTGGCAGGAGAGAAGCAGCCGCACCCTGTTCCTGCTGCAGTGTTCTGTTAATAATCTCTGAGCATGACTGGGTGTGGGCAATCAGACTGAGTCCAATAGGTCAGTGTATTCATGGGGACTGCCAGGGCTCTTTTTGTAGAAAAAGCCCAGCAGGAACTCATTAGCATAATAGGCCACACCCAACACCAGGAACGTATTAGCATATTAGGCCACACCCCTGCCAGCACAGCTCATTAGCACATTAGGACGCACCCCCGTGTTACCAGAAGTGTGGTTATCCAGCCACACCCACCTGTTGGTTGTTATTCTGTTTACCTTGTTTGTTGTCAAAACCCAGGGCTTTTTTTGTAGCAGGAACTCCTTTGCATGTTAGGCCACACACTCCTAATAAAGCCAATCCTAATGGATTTCTGCTGTTGGGTGTGGCCTATTATGCTAATGAGTTCCTGCTGGGCATGGCCAACTTGGGAGCTAGCCGGAACTCCGTTCCTGTGCGTTCCTGCCCAAAAATAGCCCTGGGGACTGCTCTTTGCTGTGCTGGGGAGCCACAGCATATGGTCTGTTTTAAGACGGTTGCATCATTTACCCTTCCTAAATACCACCTTGAGGTATGGAGAGAGAGCACTTGCCTAGGTGGGATCTGACTAGAAGGACTTCTTCCTAGCCCAGCCTTTTGTTTCCAGTGGCCAGATATCTCTGGACACCTGCAACACAGGGCATGAAGACTATAGCCATGCTTAGTCTGTTGCAGCCAAAACGGAGTGTGCTGTGTGGCACTTTGTATGTTGTAGGAGAGAACTCTCTGACCAGTTCATGAAGTGGCTTTAAAAAGGGAGTGGAGTGGTAGGGGAACTGAGCTTGAGTTCATACGATGTTCACCCAAGGTGACAAAGACAAAACTTAAGGAATGCAACAGCCATGTGACCTAATTGCGCTTGAAATCTACATAGAAGAGCTTGGATGACTGCAGCTATGCATCACAAGGAAAACTGTACTCTGGAGGCAGAAAACCTCAGAGGCAGAGGTTAATTACCTTGGCCAGGTAAAGATTTGGTGAGCACTAATCCACCTGAGTCCCCTTCTCAACTCTGCTGTGCTCCCTGCAGCATTTCCTGTGGTTTTCAAAACAAAGACAGGGAGTGTCAGCTGCACCCTTGGAAGTTGTTCGGTGGACAGAATGGTCTCCCAGGAGGTCAGGCTTCAGTGGTGAGAACTCTGCTGCCTTGGGGATGAAGGCATTCCAGGCATCGAGTGCCACATTAGAGGGTTAGATAGTGATGAAGTGTGTGGTATGTGAGTTAAAACTGGAGGCACAAGGAAACGATTGCTTTCAGAGTGTCTAAAGGTGCCAGTTGCAGAAGAAGAACCCTTGCCCCCTCTTGTTGACGTGAATCACACTTGGCACTGGAAAGAGGCAGGTGCCCAGAGCACTGAATTATGCAGGTCCACACCAGTCATTCTTCTTCACAAGTGGGTAACTCTACTCTGGCTTGAGGAGTAGTGAGATCAGGTATGGCCGGCATCGCACATCATGCACATCGCACATCATGCCTGGTTCTTTGGGCTTACAGGAGCCTTGGATTACTTAATAGCTTTATTTTCTCGTAGCTTGCGGGCATGCCGTTTGGGAATTCCTGTGCTAAACTGTCCCCCCCCCCACTCTGTCCCCCCCC